CAGCCAGCAGTCAAGGTCAGCCCGGTCCTTCCGAACACGTGAAGAAAACATGTGCGCGCACACACAAACCCCCAGGTTTTTAAAAATTAACATGCCCACAACTCTCTCCCATAAACTCCTCACATCTAGATTCCCCTCCCCAGATTCCCCCAAAGCTATGAAAACATGCCAACAGTCTTTAAGTTCTGCCCCACTTCAACACACCTCACCGCTGCGAGATCTGAACTGCAGGTGCAGCTGGTACGACCTCCCCACTCCCAAAATCACCACTGATTTTGCAGCGTATTCCTAGGACAGCTAAAGCTACGTGAGGACGAGGAAAACCTGTTAACATCACCCGGTGTTTCAGGAGAAGGCTGAGTTAAATTCCAGGAGTATAGTCCTTCTTTCCCTTGTACTCCTCCCACAGCCTTGAAAACTTCTAGGACCAGCTTTATTACAGGAGCAGCACGTAACAACCAGGCTGCCGTAAGGCCCAGAGCAAAGCCTGAGATGGAAGTTTAAACAAAGAGATCAACAGAATGACCACACGTCTTCAGCTTCACCATCCCAGGCCCCGACAACAGTTCAAGCAGGGAAATCACATTGGTATCACAGATACACATTACAGAGGGAAAACCAAAAAGGATGAGTATTTATTGTTGTACAGCGTTTCCTCCTGTTGTTTAAACCAAGTATAAAGCTCCAAACCAAGCACAACATCAGAAGGATATAGACCGGTTGGAGCGAATCCAGAGGAGGCTACGAAGATGCTCCGAGGGCTGGAGCCCCTCTGCTATGGGGACAGGCTGAGAGAGTTGGGCTTGTTCAGCCTGGAGAAGAGAAGGCTCCGGGGAGACCTTATAGCACCTTCCAGTGCCTGAAGGGACTACAAGGAAGCTGGGGGGGGACTTTTTACAAGGGTCTGTAGTGACAGGACAAGGGGTAACGGGTTTAAATTGAAAGTGGGGAGGGTTAGATTGGATATCAGGAAGAAGTTCTTCCCGGAGAAGGTGGTGAGGCACTGGGACAGGTTGCCCAGAGAAGCTGTGGACGTCCCATCCCTGGAAGTGTTCAAGGCCAGGCTGGATGAGGCTTTGAGCAACCTGGTCTAGTGGAAGGTGTCCCTGCCCATGGCAGGGGGTTGGAACTAGATGGGTTTAAGGTCCCTTCCCACCCAAACCATTCCATGATTCTATGAAATTAATGTCTTGGTAAGGAAGTGGAAATAGCGTTTGTGTAGCTTGGGCATTCTCCCACCGTACACTGTGCCTGCCACTGCAAACCCTAGGAGAAGAAAGGGAAGTTAGCCAGCCCTTTTTATGGATACTTCTGCAAGGTCCAGTATGTGCTTCCCTCCTCTCCAAACAGTGCTACTGGGTAGATTGTCTTGCGAGTCAGGCTAAACCACCGAGCATTCAGAGTAGTCACCCCCACTTCTTCCAAAAGCAGGGCCTTGCACAGACAGGTGCGAGTGAGTGAGTCCAGCCGAGAGCAAGCAAGTGCCCCCCATGTGGCAACAGCTGATCAGACACTCCAGACCTAGCACTGGTGTGGAGCCACCGACACGCAGAATGGCTAACTCCCCTTTTTTGGAACAGAAATCATGATGAAACCTACTTATTACCTTGTGTTGTTACTCAGACCAACAGCAGCTTTTACGCAGACAAGGCCTGCGAGTGATAAAGTAACTCATTCCCAGTTTGCATCATCCCACCTGCACTAACGCTGCGGTCTGAAGGAAGCATACATCGCCCACACACAAAGCCATACTGGCATTCATTAACTCCAACACTCGTAGCAGCACAGCTTTCCCAGCACAAGTCACAGAGCAGCACCACGGATATGGCAGCTGGCTTGCACCAGATCAAATGCAGGCCGGCAACCTAACTAGCAAGGGTGCCCCCAGCCTGGCTGCCGTTGTCTCTCTTGACGGCCCACCCCAAATACGTAGAGTAAAATAAACCAGGGCACAGCTCATCATCACTGGGGTAAATTCTGAACTGCTTCCTTGCAATAGCAAAAGCAGCTAGAAAACGGGCTTAGGCTAGAAAACGTTTAGGTTGTCCAGGAAACAAGCAGCAGAAGTCGTATGATGGAAATCAAGGGATTTTGCATCATTACAAACCTCACACAGAATGGTATTTTTTCCCTTCTGCCACAGCAATAGTAAGAAGTTAACACGATACATGGTAATTTCTCTGGAGTTTCCTGAATTTAAGGGCAACAGGAAGAACCTGGAAAGACAGGGCTGCCTGTCAAGGTCTTCAAACCAAAGAGCAGTCTGAGGAAGAGCTTGCGAGCTCCCAAGTAAACAGGAGGAAAAGGATCCCTTTGAGCACTACTTGGCACCCAGGAATGCTCCAGGTTGAGTCTGTTGCACCTGTGTGTTACACCAACAGCCCCATTGCTAAACACAATGCAAACTGCTGTCAAGAGGTCAATGCAGGCGTATGTATGGCCATGCTCTACAAAACAATCTGCAGCTGATGCAAACACAGTATTTAGAAATCATGCAAAAGAACAGCTCTGTGTTACCGTTTTCATATGCCTGCTCCACCAGTACTGCAAATCTCACCTGCCTTTTCCCAGCAGGTAGCATAATGGATGGCACATGCTCCGATCTTGTGTCTGTTCCTGGTATGACTGCCTCTGATTTCACACACTGTGAAGCCGTTGCACCTGCTGGCAAAGACATGCTGTCAGGCACATAGAGTCTTAAGTGTAGGGTCTCTGTCATTTCACATCTTCCTGTAAGGTAAGGAATGATTTCCAATCACTTCTGCTGCACTCAAAGCTGTAACAGTGGGTGGTGCACAGGTACGTTACAGAACCATCAATACTGGAGCACATCCTGTGTTGCCTTCTTCCTCATGGCTTTTGTTCCATCTCGTGTCACAGATTTGCTGCAGTTCAGCATCTCAGCTTTGCCTACAGCCATCTACTACGTAACTGGTTTTAAGCTACCAAACAGTTCCTACAAGCATACACTAAGAAAAAGCAACTGTTTTCCTTGAATTTTCATTCCTATTCCATCATCCCGTTATATATTCCACATGCTGTTCAATTCTATACCCAAGTAAACAGGAGTTTTATTTATTTCCAAATTCCTTGGAAACTCATAAAACAAAGACCTGGTCTGACTAATTTTCAAACTCTTCCCTTTCTGGAAAGAAAACTTAAAAAAAAAAAAAAAAGCACCTCTCCTACCTCAACCTGCTTTTCAATGCTTGCTTCATTTATTCATCACGTCTTCTCTTGACTGCTGGTCCTCCAATGGGCTTTCCTCTGCCTCCAACTCTTCCAGAACTTTCCGGCAATGCTCCACATCTCATCCTTCTCTCTCATTCATTTTCCTCAGTAACCATCTTTATTGCGTTTCCTTGCCGGGATCTTGGTAAGGTTCTAGCAGCTGAGAGGTTCAATCACCTGAAACGGTTCTCACGGAAGCGTGTTGTCTTCAGCTCACTGCTGCAGCTTACAGTCTGATTAAAACTCTCGGCCCATCTCCCTCAATATGTAAATAACTGACAGGATCCCCCATTTCACCGTCTCAACCTTGAGTAACCTGTAACCAGACTTCTTGTCTGAATGGAAACAAGCAGTGACAACTCTATGCTTTTTAGCCAAATCAGGGCTAACGGCATAAGAGCGACTTTCTTAATACGGTCAGCTAATCGCAGAGACCAACCACCAATTGTTTCCTGTAACATGGAAAACAAAGGAAGCCCGAATGATGACAATGCCAGCAAAAGGGGTGTTAGTAGCTGGATACCAGTAGGCTGTAACTGCACAAGTTACAGATACACTAACCCCAGGACAAAAAGACAAATTCACTTTTCCCAAAATTTGGAGGGAGACATACAGGTCAAGTAGATGGTCTTCAGTGCATTCCAGAAATAAGTCTGATGACATCCAAGGCTGCCACTCTGTGCCACTCCTTTAAAAATGTTAAGTTTTTGTAACTGTTCTTTAACTTTAATGTGGTGCATGGATCTATCTTGACTAAAGGAGTAACATTTCCTGGACACTTCTACACATTTCACATTCATGTAGTAAAGAACCTAAATTGAGAGCAGGTCTCCATAGTAACACGGGAGTAACACTCATAATTAAACATGATTTATTTATCACTGCTGCCTATACAGCAAATAAGATAATTGATGCTTTTAAGGCTTACATTTCTATTTCTCCTCGATAAATCTGGAAGTGACAATTATTTTGTAACTTATTCTGTTTAAAGTAAAATACTCAAATTTGGTTTTTCCCCATTGAGAATCAACACTCAGTAAGGCCTAGAATTCTTGACAAATGTTTCAGAATATACACCCAAAGAAAATTTTGCAAGCTGTAAAACTTGACTGCATAGATTCAGCAGTGTGACATGAGCAAGCAAAAAATAAACCATTTTTTCCTATTTTCATGTATTATGTTCAGACCTATTGAAGAACTTTGCCTTGTTGAAAATTAGAAAACTGGGTAAGCTTTCGTTTGGTTGTAGTATCAAAGAATGTTTGCAGCTGTTTTTAAGTTAGGTAGCATGTGAAAACTTCAGGATGAGGAACAAAACCAGATGAAACTTCGTGACTACGATTAAAACTGACAGAAAGCAATGGAAACCAAACGGAGAGTAGCACTGTACTGTCGTTACCCCATGTACAACTTCCCTTTTCTCATTCTCAACGAGGTTGTTTCAGAACACAGACATGCTGGCTGTTGAGATCACACCCGTCATCATGCGTGTGCTGTTACAAACGTAACATTTCAGTCAGTGTCGGTAATATCACCATGATGACTTCATTCCCCTCTCAAATCAATGATATCCTCATCCTTAAGGATGCACTAGTTGTTTGCATTCAAACATGCATATAAACATCCAAAGGAGTTACCATAAGTTTTTATTAAAAAAAGCCCTAATGTACATATTTTTCCCCAGTACAGCTATATTCTTCTTAAAAAGTACTGTATGTATCAAACATTTATCTCATCGCTGTCAATTGTCTTTGAAGAGCTGTCAAACATCTTTGATGAACTTCAGCACAACCTCAAGAAAAAGCTTTTAGCTTTCTAAAGGTGTGAGAAGAGGTTTAGTATTTTGCGGCATGAAGACAACACACCATTATCAACTTATCTTTGCGTTTGCAGCATTCTTCCAGGAACGATATGAACTCCCAATCCCAAGTGATAATTCATACCCTGCATAAAACTAACACAAGATGCACTAAAGGTATTCAGAGGAATAGATAGCATTTGGAAAGGTCTGTCAACATTCGTATTTTTAACAGCTCTTTAAAGAGGTACTGGTGCAGACTAAGTACAAGCTTTTTGCCTCAGTATAATACACATTTGAAATGAAAATAAAACATGGAAGACCAGTATCTTTACATTTTATTCTTCAGAAAAAGAAGAATCTTAAAAAGAAAGCAGTTAGTAGTCCACTTGTGCTTAAAATATTCAATGCATGAGAGAGCCAAAAGAAAAAAAAATACACGTTTTTGTACACCACAATCAAAAAGATAACATTATAAATTTTCAGAAATTGCACTGTATTCAAAACACTCTCTAAAGTCTGCTCCACTTCTACATATGGCTACTGAGGCTGCCTGACACAGTTCTTTGTCCTCTTTAATTGCCAACCTGTGGAGGCCCTTCAGGGATGAGGGATGTGAAGAAGGTTGTGATGAAGGACCAAGCAGAAGCCATGAATCCAGGATGCTGCTCTGTATTGGCATCTTCACCCGCCTCTTCTCCGCTGTCTTCATCAATCCCATCATCCATAAGTCGTTCCTTTAAAAACAGAAATGGAAGCAATTCAACTGCTTCTTTTCAGAGCTCTGACATAAGGTAACCAGCAGTATATTCACACAATGAGCAACTTCCAACTGAACAACCTCCTGAGGAATAACCAGCATGAAGACAGACAACTGCTTCTTTTCAGAGCTCTGACATAAGGTAACCAGCAGTATATTCACACAATGAGCAACTTCCAACCAAACACCCTCCCCTGAGGAATAACCAGCATGAAGACAGACTGTGACTGAAGTAGACAACAGTAATTGTCAGTCTGGAAAAATACAGAATTTAAGCAGCAGGCACAACACTGAGGACAACGCTGAAAGCTTTCTGCTTAAAACCGACTACATTTCATAGAAGTTGACTTCCTGACCAGGCATTACAGTGTACCTGACAATATAATACACAGGTCTCAAAAGACATGTCTGCTCTTACTCACCATCTCTTCAAGATCAGGATTATTTGCATGTTGCCCATCACGGTTCACTTCCACATTATTGGCTGCCTGCTGCTGGCCTCCTTCTTGCCTAAAGGGAAACCATCCAGCTTGATGTCTATGTAAGAAAATGGAACAGTTGAAAACCTCTCTTTTGGAAGGAATAAAAAGAATTTTTCTGCTACAGCTAACTACTGCACTAAATTCTTAACATACTTGCAAATGAATGATGCTGCACATATTTTTCTGCAAGCCTTACTTCTCCATCGAATGGCTATTCTCTGATGTCTGGGTTCAGAAGGGTCTTACTAAGAGCTGTTCTTTAGGTTTCAGGGCTGTGAACAGCCCGTCTCTGCTCCAGAAGAGGAGTAATTCACCACAATTAGGTGATTAAATATGTAGAGTATTTTTAGGGTCTCCTCCCCATTTTTTAAGTATTGAAGTTATAATAATTTTCAAAGGCAGCCTTAATTTTTCTAGTTTAAAGTTGATTTTTGTGGAAAAAAGTACTCAAGCTTCAACTAAGGCTTGAACCACATTACCACTGTAAATTAAATAAGCCTCTCCTATGTTTTCAAGTGTCTGTACTCAGACTCAACTATCCTATCTGCATTAGAAACAGAAGAGTCGTGTGAGCCTACAGTCGAAGGCAACTCTCAGTGCACGACATCTGTCCCAAATATCAAGCATTACTGCTTTTTTCCCCCACTTTAGTTACATCACTAAAATATTATTTTCAAAAGGGAAGTGATAACAACAGTACTGACATTTCTTAAAAAATAAATAAAAATAGAGAGCATGCTTACGTCTTGCTGATGCATTGTAAAACGATTTTTAAGTCCCTATGATTCTACCAGATCTCATACCCACCGTTACAGTACTTAACTCTGCCTATAAAAGGCTGCGAGAGTTGGGCTTGTTCAGCCTGGAGAAGAGAAGGCTCCAGGGAGACCTTATAGCACCTTCCAGTACCTGAAGGGGCTACAAGGAAGCTGGGGGGGTCTTTTTACAAGGGCCTGTAGTGACAGGACAAGGGGTAACGGGTTTAAATTGAAAGTGGGGAGGTTTAGATTAGGTATCAGGAAGAAGTTCTTCCTGGAGAGGGTGGTGAGGCACTGGCACAGGTTGCCCAGAGAAGCTGTGGATGCCCCATCCCTGGAAGTGTTCAAGGCCAGGCTGGATGAGGCTTTGAGCAACCTGGTCTAGTGGAAGGGGTCCCTGCCCATGGCAGGGGGGTTGGAACTGGATGATTTTTAAGGTCCCCTCCAACCCCAACCATTCTGTGATTCTATTCACTGCACAAATCCCATATGTTATTTTTGAAATATAAATAAGCTTATTTTTGCAATTTTCCTTTCACATCCAAGCAGGAAATGTTTTAAGTTTATATGCAAACATACTTTTGACCTATATGAATTTCCCTTCTCCCACCCCCACTTTCTAAATTTCCACACCAAAATTCTGTATTTCTACACTACTGATCTGGTAAAGACCATCAACACCTAAGCACACTGTGTTTCAGGTATAAATAGTATCCGACCTCCTGTAAACATGCTTTGAGAATTATTTCTTTGTTCATATCAGCTTCTCTGCTTGTTTGAAATGCAAACTGCTGTGCGGGGTGTTTTGGGTTATATTTTACACACCATACTGTAAAGGAGCAGTGCCTAAACTTTTCTATTTGGATAATCTTTCACAGTTTAAATGGATCGTACACTAGCCCCAAACTCCACGTATCAGGTCTGTGCAGCTGTACTCAACTGTTGTACTCACAAATAGACCAGCAGCATGGCTCCCATTACCATGACAAATCGACTGAAGGAAGAATAGAAGTATACAATGCTCAGAAGAATTGCTGCTCGAGAGAATGTGTACATCCAGTCCAGCCAGTCCCGGTTGAAGTCGTCCTCGTTCACTACCGGGCCGCCCTGTGCATTCATCTGAACGTTTGGGTTTACAGGCCTGTTCTCCTGGACGGCTACATTTGGCACTGCTGCGGGCTGGTTTGCAGGAGCGTGTTCTGAGTTTACAGCCTGGGCGACTGCAGATCTCACTGGCTCAGTGCTGGAAGTCACTTGGGCTGAAACAGCAGCTTGGCTAAAAATTTAAAGACAGAACAAACTCGTCAAAAAACAGGCACCACAATTTCTAAGCCTGCTGTCATCTTCTTTTCTACACTAATAAAAACCACAGTTACTGGTGTAATACACGTCAAAACAAACTGCATTTGCCTTAGAGCTTTACTTAGTAACTCCAACTTGAAACAGGATTTTGTGATTTGCTCAAAGAACAGTGTACAACAGCACTGACAGACAAAATAAAGACATACATTTTAAACCTGCAAACATCATTTAAGTTTTCAATACCTTCATTTGATGAGTGTAACTCAGTACTACCTAAGATAACGCAGACTTACTATTGCATGTAGTACTGGCGTGCATACATATGTTGCCACCAGATCATCTGTAGGGGACTGAATGCAGGATACATCGAAAATCCAGCAGGAACACCCTGGGCTGGAAACTGGTTGCCTATGTTGCTATAAAACGATTTAAAGAAAAAAATAGTCAGTAAAAAATTGCCATACTTATAAAATGTGCTAACATTTAAGAACAATTAAAGCAGTATTCTTCCTCTCATTTGCACTGAAAAAACATATTGTGATATCATCACACCCATTCCAAAAAAGCACTGTATTTTTATACAAGAAATTAAGAAGCCAAGTTATTTCTATAGAACAAGGACTTCGGGTTTTGTACTTAGATGTCTGTCACTAGCTGCATCTCTGAGACAAAGCCATGCTGAAAATCTTTCAAAACTGTGTATATAACTGCAGAAATTCTTCCATACAATTCCTTTTAAGTTCAAAGGTCACCCTGAATGGTGCGGCAGGAGCTGTAAAGGGAAATGTCACTACCTTCTACAACTTTCTTTTAGAAGCAATACCCAAAATACCACTGTGATTAAGGACATGAAGAAATGAATGTGAGCAAAGACACCAAACTAATCTTTCAGACACAGTTTCTGAAGATTGCAACTAAGAACACTGTAAATTATTTACTCCCCCCTCAGTATTTTGAGCATAAGCGATTCTCGTTCCTATGGGCTTTTAACTCTGGTTCACATGCAAGAGACATAAAGCTCCTATGCATTAAGTTTTAGGTTTGGTTCTGTCTGCTTTTAAACTTCTTCACCTCTCTTACCTCCTAGAGCATATAGCATGTTTTGGCAAGATTTCCAACTCCTTCTCCAAAGATTTTGAGGTAGTGAACTGTAGTAAACCATGACATCTTTCAGGACAGCATGAGAGTATAAAGCATGAAGAAAAGTTTATTCAGACTGCAGGTAACAAAAGCTGAGACTGCTGTAATTATACTGCAGAATACACCTCTTCCTTAAGTAAGGCACTCCCTGCAAAGGTATCAACCAAGAGATTTCATTAGAATCACAGAATGGTTCGGGTTGGAAGGGCCCTAAAAGCCCATCTAGTCCCACCCCCCCTGCCATGGGCAGGGACCCCTTCCACTAGACCAGGTTGCTCCAAGCCTCATCCAGCCTGGCCTTGAACACTTCCAGGGATGGGGCATCCACAGCTTCTCTGGGCAACCTGTGCCAGTGCCTCACCACCCTCTCCGGGAAGAACTTCTTCCTGATATCCAATCTAAACCTCCCCACTTTCAATTTAAACCCGTTACCCCTTGTCCTGTCACTACAGGCCCTTGTAAAAAGTCCCCCCCAGCTTCCTTGTAGCCCCTTCAGGCACTGGAAGGTGCTATAAGGTCTCCCTGGAGCCTTCTCTTCTCCAGGCTGACCAAGCCCAACTCTCTCAGCCTGTCCCCATAGCAGAGGGGCTCCAGCCCTCTGAACATCTTCGTGGCCTCCTCTCGACTCGCTCCAACAAGGATATCGTGTGGGGCAGTATCAAAGGCTTTGC